GGCAGCCAGGAGCCAGCAGCGCCTGCGTGTTGCTGTCATGCCTTCTTGAAGGGCATCCTGACTTGCGCGGGGTTTCCAATGCAGCTATCTGCATGCCCTCCCCTCAGATCTCCCTGTGGGATGCAGGCCCAAAGCTCCATCCCAAACAGAGGAAACTTGCTGTTTATGCTAATTACGGATCCTGGTGGTGGTTTTTTTTTCTTACGCTCAAGTGCTGAGTGTGATGGTGTTCTTTATCTGTGTGAAAGTGTATCTTGGAGGAAGTGCACTGATTGATGTTGGGGAATGATAGAGAGAGTGCCTGACTGAGATTCACGCAGCTTCCCTTATCTGGGCCTGCCATAAGCCCAGATTTCCTTTAAAAAAAAAAAAGCCAAAAAAAAAAAAAAAGCATTCTTCTTTCCTGTTGTTGTTTTTAAAATAATTTCCACTAGTTTCTTCCTTTGGTGCCTGGTTGCTTCCTACACAATGGCTACTGTCCTCAAGAAATTCTTGTAGGGAGTTCAGTGATTTCTGTGTCTCTCTGTCTTCCTTTGAACTAAATTAACTTGAATCATCATGAATGGAGGTTTGTTCCCAGAATAGCTGCTTCCCTCCAAGCATCCTGATGGAGCTGACACAGGCAGATTAATTAGGAAATTCACCTTTCGGCTTGGGGGTTCTTATTTTACAGAGCACAAAGGTCCCAGAAGGTTGTAGGGTTCAATATAATAGAAATGTTTCCAGAAACATACTCTTCCTTCCCATATGCTGGCTGTGGCCAGTGATGCATCTGATTTATAGATAAATATATGCATACTATAAAGAGAACACGAAACAACTCTCTTGAAGGGCAAATATTCATGTTTTCTAATGCATATGTCTCTACTTATATCTCAGGAAAGTTCGCTCAGGAGCCAATCCGTATGCATGCAGGAAATGGAAAGTGATCTCGGAGAGAAAGGGTGGGAATCAGGTTGAAATTAAGCACCGAGTTGTTACGATTGCTGGGAAAACAAAGGTGAGCAGATTTTCTTTTCTGTTGGTTGGGGATGATTAGCCCTCTTCAGCAGCCACATATCTGGAAATATATCACTAGAGATGAGACTCTTTTCATGAAAGGTTAAACTTGGGGCTCTACTCAGCTACTCGTGCAAGCTTCTACTGAAGCCAATAGGCAGAGGTAGACACTTGCAAGTCCTTTAGACATTGACTCAAAGTGAGTCTCCATTGAGGAGCGTAACTTACTTAGATTTCAGTGCTTACCTTTTAGCAGTCTGAAGTTAGGTGAGTTAATCTTGCCAATTAACTGTAATAGGAAGAAGCTGGAGAGACTGAAGAACAGAAAAAGTTGTGGGTGCAACATTTATTAACATGTATACTGAAGTCTGCCTCTGGCAGGCTGCTTTTTCTTGGTTTTCTTTTGCCTGATTGTTACAGACTTAAGAAAAAAAATGTAAACATCAGGAGGGGTCTGTGCTCCTGCTGTGCCATGGATTTGTGCTGTGGAGGGATTTTTGGTTGTGCAGATACCTGCAGAGTGCTTTGCTGAGCTGTTGAGGTGGTTGGGCTCATGTATGTACTTTAGCACTGACGCGGTATGAAATTGCGTGATTTTTTTTTGTAGACTGTGAGTACCCTCGTGATTCAAGCAGCGAATGTATCTGCTTTATATAGATGTATGGCTACGAACATAGCTGGGTCAAGTGAGAGAGTTATCTCCTTTCATGTGACGAGTAAGTATACCCTGTTGAGGACAGTCATATTAAATTAATGTTATTTTGTCTGTTTCGCTAATGGCAGGTGCTTCAATGTTGTTGTCTGATTTCTGTCCTTTATAAAATCCTTTCATTCTTTAGGAATTTAGGTTTTCCTAATGCAGCCTTTAAAGTCACCACCTAACTTCAGCCAAGGGATTAGTTCTGCCGGCATCAGTGGAGTGTTCGTCCCATGAAAATGATGCAAAATGGGCACTGTTGTCCGGAGAGTGATTGCTATTGAGCTTTTGCAGTCACTTAAAAGAGCTACAGAGAAATTATGGTAGTGTCACAAAATGAGTAAAGACATACGGTAAAAGCTAAGACTAACATTTTCAAAAACTGGGGCAAAGAGGTTCTGACTTCTTGAAAATCAGTCCCCATCTCACTTGCTAAATAATATTTTAATCCAAATCTAAAAATGAACTATAAGATAATAATAAGAATCATCTTAGGTTGCCAGAAGTTTCCACAGTAAGAGGAACTGTATTCATTACACAGGCCTTTTTTTGATCCATTTTGAATGTATTGTTTTTAATGAGATTGTACTCTTTACATAAATGATCGATTGATTTTTCAGTGTTTTGTTTCCTTATTTACAACTGGCCAAGGTGAGGATAAGGCTATATTTGTACAATGGCTTTTTCAAGTTACTGTTGCAACAAAATGTGCAACCTAATAGGAATTTATTTTATTTTTTTAACTTGCAGGGGGTCTTGAAATTAATCTCCAGCCTCGGAATCAGCTCACAGAGAAGGATAACATGTCCTTGCAATGCACGGCAGACAAATTCACCTTTGAGAAGCTATCGTGGTACAAACTCAGCACTCATGTTTCACAGACTCCCTTTGGAGGGCTGCCCATGCCTGTTTGCAAGAACCTCAATGCTCTCCAGAAGCTGAATGCAACAGTTTCAAATATCAATGGTGAAAATATCACCTTAGAGCTCATTCTCCATAACATCTCCCTCCAGGATGGAGGAGACTATGTTTGCATTGCTCAGGACAAAAAGGCTAAAACACAGCACTGCCTGGTGAAGCACCTCACTGTTCAAGGTACAGATCTCTTACTGTGAACCAAAATGGGTGGTTGTGTATGAAAATAACTGCAGTAGTGTCAGGTTTTGGTATCTTCAGGCCTTGCATGTGTTGGCTTAATGGTGCACTCGGTTTGATAAATAGATTTAGACCATTTGTTACAACATGCAGGTCTGGGGCTTGTCTGGGCAGCAGGGACTTACTATTTCATCAGTAGCAGTGAGGAAACACTGACCGAGCCACTGTGCTGTGCAAGGACCTGAGTTTGGCTTTTGCACAAATAATGGCATGTGTTTAGCTCAATAACTTCTCAATTTTATTTTCAAAACACATTTTTCCCTCTAGCGGTATATGCATGTGTGTATTCATAGCATTAATGCTACTGCTTTGTGTCACTGACTTGAGCTTGAAGTAGCATCTATAATTTAACACTCATGAAGTGATGCTGGTATTCAGGTGCAAGCAATGCAAGCTGATAATCAATCAGCTTTTCACACAAATAGTGATGACTTTGCTTTGGGACATAGATGTCTAGGCTGATTAGTCAGATTCAGGAAAATATCTACGCATGTTTGCGGTCTGTCCTGAATGGATGTTTGATGGACCAGCAGTATCTGACTTCTCGTAATGACCCTGGAAATAGAAATGTGAGGGAAGCAATTTCTCACCTATTCCCTCTTCCCTCAGCAGCCTGAGCAGTTACAAATTAAACCATCTAAAGCAGGTTACATCATTACTGTTAAAATTTTCTTAGCTATTATGTAATTTTTTCATGTCATGTGGAAGTTTATCTATGATCTTAACAGAACGCTGTGGCTGCTGGTGTTATAAAAGGATTTGAGACTTTGTTACTGGGCCAAGCGTGTAGAGTGTCATCAAGTGCTATTACTGCAAGAATGGATGTTTTCTTTAATGGTCAGTAATTTTGCCATATTTTTGAACCAACAGAGCCCATGGCACCCACCCTCGTAGGAAATCTGGAAAATCAAACAACAAACATAGGTGAAACCATAGAAGTGTCATGCACAGCGAATGGCATTCCTCCTCCAAACATCATGTGGTTTAAAAATAACGAAACCCTTGTTGAAGACTCAGGTGCGGATTGCTCCTTTGCTAGAATTTTTTATCATTTAAGGGCTTTCTTTCATGGGACTCACTGCTGATTTTCACCATGAAAAGCTTAATGTTGAATTTTTAACACAAATAGCAGAACTAAGAATCGTGATTTTTTTTCCAGGTATTGTTTTGAAAGATGGAAACAAAACACTAACCATACGTCGAGTGAGGAAAGAAGATGGAGGGCTGTATACCTGCCTTGCCTGCAACGTCCTCGGATGCAGAAAAGCAGTGGCTTTTTTTTCAGTGGAGGGTTAGTGTTAGCTTCTTTCCTGATTATGCATGAAATCTTTATAATCACTAAAAGGAAAATCTACTAGCTATCCTGATTGGAGATTTGAAAATACACCGTGAGATTTGTGAAAAGTCCTGACCATTCCTGTCAAGCTCAGATTGGGTGCTGTCATAGCCGTTGTGATCCCAGCTGTTGAGGCTGATGCTTTCTTCTCTACAATGTTGTTTAGTGCTTTTCAACAAAAGCTGAATCTATCTTACTTGTGGTTGCAAAGAAAACTCTGCCAGTCTATATTACATGCAAACCTATACAACAGAACCTACCCAAACCTGCAGGTGTCCTGGGGCATCTCTATTCATTTGGTAACGTAATTGTCATCCTATGTTTCTTAACAGTTGTAACTTTTTAAACAATGTCATTGCTGTCACAGCATCTCAGAAAAACAGAGAGAAGACTTTTTGCAGTCTGTTGTCATTGCCATCCCATTTCAGTGATAGGAACAGGTAGTGGTTTTGGGTTAGAGGACTCCAGCCTTAGTCCACCAAGCTCTGAAAGTAGCATTTGTGAGACCCGTCTCTCACTTGTCCTATTGTGGCACACTGAAATGCAATTCAAAATAATAAACAACAAATCCTAACAAGAGGTTAGTCTGCAGTCTGAGTAGCTGGAACCATGATGGACTTTCCACGAAGAGTTGCAATGAGAAGCCTCAAACTAAAAGCTCCTTGCCTTTGATATTAGTACATTCGCAAAATTTAGTCACTGAATCCTTCACAAACTTCTGTCTTATAAGGCAGGGTGATTGTCCGATCTCTTCTGTTACGGTAATTAAAGCAGTATCCTGTTATTCTTATAGGTCCCATTAGGATATTAAGATGCTGGGCAATATGTTTCATGGGGTGGAAATTATCTGCAGCTGACATCAATGTAGATTTCAGCTGTTGTAGTAAATATGGATGGGGCATGCCTGTAGAAGTTGGAAATCTGTGTAGGACATGCTATTTCACTCCAATAAATTTACAGTGCAGCTCATTGGGGTCATGCAGCGGAGTGTGCTCCTGTGTAGGAAAATCTGTGTGATGCGAGGGACGAAACACAGGAGCATGATGTAGCGAACGAGAGCTGAAGAAGAAAGCTGCTCCTGCGCATTAATAGATGTTCAAGTGGTACCTGCTGGAGACTATTTTACTGCAAAAGGGATGTTGTAAATAAGACCTTATTTTCATGTGTTCTTGAAGAATCACGTTTTTTCATGCCCCAGCTGAAGCATGTAAAGAGACAAGAGAGATTGGTCTCTGGGTCATTCTCACAGCACTTTATTTACTATATGATGGGGTTTTTTTGGTTTCTGGAGAAAGAGTCAATCATTTTGAGTATTCTAAACCAGTGATTTCTTTTTAAAATGTGAGATTTTACTTTTTTATATTTGCCAAAGATTCAGATACTGTCCTTGGAACAAAGCTGATGCTAAGAAATTGGGTGGTGTGTAAAACAGCACGAAACTAAGCATAATATTCCAACATAAAAACCCAAGCTTTTTGTTTTGTTTTGCTTTCTTTTCCTTGCTCCATGTTGCACTTTTAAAACAAACCTTCAGAACAAGGACCTCCATTCTCTAATGAATGAAGAAAACCAATACACTTCCAACTATCACTCAGATATTCATTTATGTCTTCCCAGGCGCTGAAGAGAAAACAAATCTGGAGCTCATTATCCTCGTTGGCACTGCAGTGATTGCCATGTTCTTCTGGTTGCTTCTTGTAATCATCCTCCGGACCGTTAAGCGGGTAATGAAAAAATTCTCGTACCGTCCTATCAGCACTGGTCTTGCATGACAAATGAGAGCTGACTTGAGGCCTTTTGTGTTGTTTCTTTCCATTGTTCTTAAATCAACAGACACATTTTTTCTCTCCCTGCCGTAACATTCTTGCCTGGAACCGGGGGCACAGAAATTTGTTTTTAATTGAACAGGCCTTCACAAGGCTGGTTTTGTTTATTAACAAAAAAAAAGTGCAAGTAATTAATGATGATCACATTCACA